CCCACTGGAATTGGGAGAAGGGAAAGGACTAAAATGTGGACTGAAATGAAGGGTTAACTTGTCCAAGACTGATCTCTCCAGTCTAGCCCCCCACAAAGGCTGGCCTCCTGCACAGTCCATGTAAACCATCTAGTCTCAGTGCTTAAGTCCATTAATTTGGTCAAAAGCAAGGCTTGAACTTAGCTCCTCATGGGGAAGAGGAGAGAGGAAAGTGCTGGTGCTGCCTCAACTATGAATGCTGCTGTGGTAAATCCTACTGCTAGTTTGCATGCCCCCCAAAACTCACCAATAAAGCTGCAACTGCAAGGCTTGGACCCCAGTCCCTCATCATGCCAGAGAAGGGGCTGGTGTTGTATCCAACCACCAATGCTGACCTGGCAGGATGGGACTGAAATGAAGGCTGTGCCAGTCATCTTGCTATTGTTCCCTGGCCTCAGATCATACCAGAGGAGGAGCTAGTGTTTCCCTAGTCATGTCTGCCCCCAGCAGACCTCTGTGTGCAGCTTTAGAATGAATAGGAGCATCTCCTATTGACCCAGTGTCTGAGAGCTTTCTCCAGTGCCCCACAGGCACAGTGAGAATGCTGCTTGCCCATTTGTCCTGTTTGTATAATAAAATCCTTACAAATAAAGTCACAATTCTAAAAGAAGATACAGCGGATTTGTTCCAAGTGTTTTTCAGTTGATGACTACTCCAAGCCAGCCACCCCAAGTAAAGATCTGAAGATATTTGACCTGAAGAATGAGACTGCCAGCCCTTGAGCCAAAGGGAACCAGGCCGCGCTGCACCCCAGAGACCCATTTTTAGCAGCAGTGGGGACTTGAACCTATCTACTGTTCATGACTCTGGCCAGGGGGCTCTGTGTGAGGCTCTGGTCACATTTACACCAGTGGGATGAACATGACCCCTGACTGCAGCCATGTGCCCAGTCTCTGTGGCTCTGGCTTCTGCTCATGTTCCTCATTTGCTCCATGGTTCTCTGAGTGTGCTGGAGCCCTGCCCGGGACTATAGCCAGCTTGGTTGGGCCCTGACAACCTGCCCGTTGCCATCTGCCAGCTAATGTCCCACTTTAGCATGAATGAGGGCACTCCTGGAATCAGGATGCTGCCACCTGCTCCCGCGCACAGCTGCCACCTAGCTGTTGCTGCATGGCCTCCATTCGCTTGTCTGGACCAATCAGATCAGATATGTGGAAGCTGGGCCACCATCACCTCAGAGGGAACCCTTCAGCCAGGTAAGTCCCCACTCCACTCTAGCCACATATTCTTGAAACTCCCAGTTTACTTTTTTAGGTTGAAAATTCTACCCCCTATTACAGAAGCTTCACAGATAATTTCACCCTCACTAGGTACATCAAACACTCAAAGTTAATCTCCAGAGTTTTCATCAACATTGACTTAGTTGTTTTATCTGTCAGGCAATAAAGGTATGGTTCTAGGGTTTATGAACTATTTAAGGGCATAGAAAAATATTTTAGATCTGACAGAAAGTAGTTCCAAAACAAAATAACACACTCTCAAATGATCTCAAAAGCAAAAGCCTTTACAATTATTCATAACCCAAACTTTTTACTTATGAAATATGAGTGCATTTCATCATCCAGTAGGTTGGGACATCTAAACTCAAGCAAGTCAAGGACCTGAGAGTGTAATCTCATGGCAGACCCTCCCTAACTGCTCACATTTTCCAACCTCATCGTTTCCCTCAGTCACTGTGTGGCTGCCACCAATGGTAGGTGCGACCATGGCGGCGTGGGTACTAACCACAGGGCCCATAGGCAGAGTATTTGTTGAATGAACGGGTGCATCGATGAATGAATAAACAAATTAACAATATATAAATCCTACAATAGAAATATTTTAAGATATTTTTAAAAATCAGAATGAGAGGGGAATGGGGAGTTGTTGCTTAATGAGTAAAGCGTTCCAGTTTTGCAAGGTGAGAAAGTTCTGGAGATTGGTTGTGCAACCAAGCAAATATACTTAACACTGCTAAATATACTTAGAAATGATGAGGATGTCTAAGTTTTATGTTACATTTTTCACCACCATAAAAAATTTAAAAATCAAACCAAATTTTTAAAAATTAGAAATAAAATTTACAGAAAAATTCAAAATACACTTATGACAGCTATCTGAATCTCACTGCAGCAACTCTTCAGTTTTCATCAACATAGCCCTGACTTCTTCAGTCCTATTTTCATATAATATGTATTATTTATTCCGTGACTTCTTTTGGGGGAGGTCAGTAAGTGACAGTTCCATTTGACAGTCCAGACAGAATTTGATGGCGTAATTACAAAAACAAAATAAAAACAATTTTACTTTTAATTTTATATAAGGAAGAACTTAACCCTTTCGTACAATTTGAAAAACAAAACTTGACTTTTAGCAACAGGCTAGAAATTTTTAACAAATTTGAAATAACTTTTCAATTTATAGTAAGCCATATCTCCTCAGTGTGTACATTTATAATCACCTAGAGTTTCCACACCCAGAAATAACTGTTAACGTGTTAGTGTAGATATATGCACAATACAAATATATTTTACATTGCACTTTATATCTTATTTTTCTATTTAATGTATCAGGAGCATTTTCTGAAATTAATACATATTCATGGTTTCCTGTGTTAATTTGGAATAAAATCGAAAGTCCTCACCTTGGCCTACAGGCCCCAGTGTGATCTATCCTAAGCCTCCCTGTGTAACTTCAGCTTCTTCCACTTCCCACCTTCCACTTGCTGTGTTCCATTCACACAGGCCTTCTTGCTGGTCCTTAGGCATGATCAGCATGCACTTGCCTCAGGGCCTTTGCACTTATTGCATCCCCCCTCTGGAACCCCTTGCTTCAGATTTTCACAAGGGCTACTCCCTCATTTCACTGCTATCTCACCTTATAATAGGTAAGCACCTTATATAAAGTGATAACCATTGTGTATTCCCTTTCTCTACTTTATTACGTATTGTAGGACTTAACACGACTTAATACAATATTACATAACTAGTGATTGTTAAGACCTGGTTTTCCTAGAAGAATGTAAGCTCTACAAGGGCAGAGACTTTGTCTTGTTCATTCTTCTATCCCCTGACACCAGGTTGTAAATCATCATTTGTTGAATGAACCAATGACTTTTGCTTTAACCTATTTCATGACTGCACAGAACTCTGTTGCACGGATGTTGCTAAATACATTTAGCTAATTCCCTTTTCTGGGATACTAGAGATTGCACTGCAGTGGAATACTTAAATATGTTCTCTTAAATATAGTAGTTTTCCATTGTTTTATCCGAGTTAATTACATTGAGTGCAGCAGCTGCCTAGCCATCCGCCTTCCTCTTTTCCCTCCTCCCACAGTTTGTATTACAGACAGACTGATATCCCACTCCTTTCCTTGCCCTCCATGTACAGAAGCTTAAGTCCAAGCTCTGACTGCTGGTGTGTCCCTATTCTACCTTCCCACTGTGGTTTCCCAGGGTGGGAGGAGGGGGGCGGATCACGAAAAATAACTAATGGGTACTAGGCTTAATACCTGGGTGATGAAATAATCTATACCACAAACCCCATAACACAAGTTTACCTATGTAACAAACCTGCAGATGTACCCCTGAACTTAAAATAAAAGTTAAAAAAATCATTTAACTATTCCAAAAAACAGTCCACACTTCACATTGGATGCAGGTTGTCCCTCTTATCAGTTGCTCTAATTATGCTTTAGTGTATATTGTTCCCTTTTCACAGAATATATTCCTATTCATTTACAAGCCTAAATTCCACCCATCTTCCAAGTCCCTTGCCAGTCCCTCCTGATTGCCTCGTGCCTTCCTTGAATCTAGTCTGCATGACATCTCACCTCCCTAAGTTGTTCTAATACTCCCTATGTCTAGCACGCATGATGGCTTCTGACCATGTTCAGGCACCTCATGAGCTTTAGCTACAATCACATGAACTGCAACTTCCTGAAGCACTTTCAAAGTCCTATGCAGTCCTAGTCACAAAATAATAAATACTTTTAAAATTGAGCAGTTTCACCAAAGTCAAAACTTTTATGCAAAACGAGATAGTGTTTTGAGGGAAGAAATGGCATTATCCAAGATCAAATCTTTTCATCTTTCCCTATATTTTCTTTGCATATTATCTACACACTATTCTACCATAAAGAATTTTCCATTCTTAAATTCCTATTTGCAATCCTTGATCGACCACTATACAAAATCTATTTCTGACAATTTTGTTGTTGTTTTAGATTTTGGCTTGTCTTAACATTATTAAGTATGAAGTTATTTTTAAATGAGTATTTCATTCAGGAATTATTTTAAAAATCATGATGAGGCCGGGTGCGGTGACTCAAGCCTGTAATCCCAGCACTTTGGGAGGCCGAGACGGGCGGATCACGAGGTCAGGAGATCAAGACCATCCTGGCTAACATGGTGAAAACCCCGTCTCTACTAAAAAAAAGCAGGCGCCTGTAGTCCCAGCTACTCAGGGGGCTGAGGCAGGAGAATGGCGTGGACCTGGGAGGTGGAGCTTGCAGTGAGCTGAGATCCGGCCACTGCACTCCAGCCTGGGTGACAGAGCGAGACTCTGTCTCAAAAAAAAAAAAAGTCATGATGAGGTGGTATGTGAGTTACATAGATATTTCTTGGTTTTCATATAAGGGGCACGGGGCAGTATGAAAATCATAAACTATACCTTTCATTCTTTCATCCTGTGTGTGGAGGGGTCAGGGAGAATGCTTTCTCTTAGTGAGGATGTTACCGGGTAGGAACTGTAGGTTGAGCACTCAGGCAGAAGCATGAGCAAGGGATTCTGCAAAAAATATTCTCTAAGGAATACTGAAGCTAGGTCCACAAGTCACATGGTTTTGTTTTTTGATCTCAATAATATACATGATTATGCTGAAATCTCAGGTCTTTTTCTCCACCACCACGTGTTTTTTGGTTGCGTGATCTCAGGATCCACCAAAACACACCCAAGGCATCCTGGCAAATGCCCACTCACCATCTTCCTCGTAGAGAAGACCCATATGCATGTGTGCCTCGGCTTCTTTCTTCCCACCGTCAATTTTGATCAGCTGAGCAATCTTAAAACATCGTTCATAGAAGTGGTTCCTTACCCACTTGTCTTCAGGGTTATTGAAGTAACAGGCCAGAGCATACAAGTTGTTATATACATCTTCGAAGGATTCTTCAAAGAGAGAAAAGCGCCATGAATGGCATTAGAAAGATGTCTCATGGCATACCCTTTAGAATGGCAAACCAGTATCATGACATTTATTTCCTACTTTTCCTTAAAGATGTGATTAACAATTTTAAAAATTGGGTCTAAAAGCAAAAATTAATTTATTTTAACTATTAATTTAATTACATTAATTAACGGATGTGCAGATGAGAAAAGCAACAAAAGGCTTTCTGAAAACTTACAACATGTAGGAAATTCACACTATTTGGTTGAAACAGGAGGCTTTAAAATATAGGACAGGACAATACCTACTAGCAACGTGCTCAGTGCTTTTGGAAGAAAGGAGTATATGGTACCATTGAGCACTTTTCCCACTGGAGGTTTGAAAGTACTTAGAGATTCTAGAGATGGCAATGTTTCTCAGCCATGGCAAAAGATAATGTAAATGAAGAAAGCAGAATGGATATGAAACTACCAAGGTATTTCATATCATAAAAAATGTCACGGGCCTGATAGATACAACAAATGACGATCAGAATGACCCTATAAGCTCCATATGCTTTCAAGCAATGTTTCTAGCAATATTAATTTCTAGCAATGTTAAGAAAGAGTAGACTCCTATGCTTCTGTTTTCTATGGGTATTCTTTTGCTGGGAATGCATAAATACTAGTCGTTTTTATTCAGAAAGTTGTTGATTAAACTCTTGTAGGTTTTTTTTTAAAGGGTATCTAACCTATATGTACACAAAAAGTGTGTCCATCAATTGTGAATCAGTCTTATAAACCCCACCTTGAACAAATATGTCTGTGTGTTAATAAATCATGCCTCAGTCCTGTAAACTCTATTCTAATGGTGAATATGAACAAATTAATAATATTTATGTCTTTTGTATTTATGCTGAAAGCATAGTTGTACTATAAAATGCAGTGGCCTCTGGGTTACCCTTCCAATAATTTTTTAATAACAACCATTATCTATTAGAATTCACTGATATTAATTGTTCACTACTACCAGAGGAATCAACCCACATATTCCTGAAGAGATTACAATTATGAAACATATTGCCCAGTAGGACACCTATAAGATTAGAACCAAAACTCAGAAAAAATTAAACAGGTTGATTACAACAAAGGGTCATTTTGCAGAACTGTAAATAAGTCACCCCAATGTTTCAAAAGAAATTTCTAAAACCGATTCTATTCCTTTACATATACTATTTCAAAATTCTTTAAAATGGAAACTAAGATTTATATGAAAATAAATTTAAAAACTAGAAAACAAAATAAAAAGGTCTCCCTATCCTGGAAGTTGCTGGGGATTCTGGAGAGCCATTCTGCTTTTCGAGGACACTCACACTAGGTGACAGCTCAGGTGAAAAGTAGATAACCTAAGTTATTTATTTGATGCAAATACTCCCACCTCAGAACTATTTCTGGGCTTTGTCACATTATGAACTTCCTACATAATGTGAATACAACAGTAAAGTCTGTTTTGTAATATTTCATATTCTTGGTTATATTTACTGATTAGAGAGTTATTGCTTTTAGAAGCCAGCAAGTAAAACATTTGGTATTTTCCACTTTAATAAAAAGTATATATATATAATTAAAAATATATGTAGTCCTGAAACAATTTTTTTATATTTTAGTAATTAAACCTTAATGTAAAAATATTTGCAACATTTCATAAGGTTTTTATTTTATTTTTTTTTTTTAGGAATGAGTTAGATAAGCTACCAAGATTACATATTTAAAGACTACTTGTCAGCTAAGCTATTTTTCTATGAAAAAAAATGGATGGTTTTCCAGAATCTTAAATACAAAAGAATATATTCAAGTTTCAAATCTTTGGGCACTCCAAATACATGTCCTGTGCCCTTTACAAAGGCTACAAGTAGCCTTCTCTCCTTGCTTGTAGACAACTTCCTTGAATTGTCAGCAGGTATACTCAGAAGATGAAAATCAATTTTATTGTGGGTTTCTTATGCTCTTTAAAAAGACGATTCTACAATAACATAAATTTGGGAAACATTTTTGCTAATTTCCTTTTTCAGTAAACCACACAATAAACATCAGCATGCTAAATGCTCTGATTAGTCCTGCGATACATCAACCTGCTTAACCTCAGTGTTAGTTCACCTGGTATTTCTCAAGCTTATTTTGCCAGAAAATTGTTTTGTTTTGCTTTACATCAAATCTGTAAATATCTGTGGAATTTTGCTTTAGTAGAACATAATTTGTGTATCTTAAACAAACATTATTAGAAAAAAATTGCTGCTCAACCCTTAATAAATTTAAAAGTCAAGTGTAAATAATGTTTGAATTATCTATTGATTCTCTTACCCATTACCATTATTGTCATCTCTTCCCTAACCCCATGGGACATAAGGCTCAAATCAGATGTCACAGATGGCACAGCAATGACTCATGACAATGGATAATATTTTAAAAATGTATCAAGGACAAAGAGACACTTTAACAAATGGAAAAGAACCCCAAAGAAATGATTGACTTACTTTAAACACACCTTTGCTATAAAACAGCAAGTGATGTTTTGTAAAGTAATTTAAATAACTCTAGGTTACTGCTTGGTAAGTCTCAAGAGACAGAACTGACCTGAGATGACTATTGTTAGTGCCATAGCTTTGATTAAATGAACTTCACTGTGACCCTAGAGTGATGGTCCTTCCAATGAGAAGCAACGAGAATGCTCAGTTGTACGCTATCTCAGGAAAATTGTCTCCAACCCCACAACCATATGGAATGGAACTTTAAGATACTATTAACATTTCTATATTCTAGGCATACATATACATTTTAAGATTTAGGATTCATTCAAGTTAATAAGAGTGAATGTGCATATCTCATTTTCTGGTACGTTCCTAATTCAAACCACAATTTTCCTCCAGTAAAGTTCATGTGTTGAATGTGGAAAAAAAATTATAACATTTTTTGAAAGAAGGCCACACAAATGTTTACATGTCCTTCAGCTGAAGTTTTTCCAGTAATACTTTTGTAATAATTTTAATTTTCTATATTTCAACCAGACAAAAGTCACTGAATTTTGTGGGAGATAATCCTACAGAAGAGACATTGGCTATTATAACGTTGGACTTTGGGCCAGGTGCAGTGGCTCACGCCTGTAATCCCAGCACTTTGGGAGACTAAGATAGGTGGATCACTTGAGGTCAGGAATTCGAGACCAGCCTGGCCAACATGGTGAAACCCCGTCTCTACTAAAAATACAAAAATTAACTTGGCATGGTGGGGTTTGTGCCTGTAGTCTCAGCTACTCGGGAGGCTGAAGCAGGAAAATCGCTTGAACCTGGAAGGCGGAGGTTGCAGTGAGCTGCGATGGCACCACTGCACTCCAGCCTGATTGACAGAGCAAGAGTCTGTCTCAAAACAAAACAAAAAGTTGGACTTTGTTAACTTTTGGATTGGAGAAACATTTTTACTTATACATATAGTAACTTTTCTTTAAGAAATATTATAAATTAAAATCTTTTCTACCCTGAAATAGACTATGTGGCATTTTAGGTTCTTTATAAATTTGAAAAAGCTTTCTGACAAGCTGGCTCACATCTATGACACCTTATGACAAGTGACATATTTAGCTTATATTTACACTATCTCCAATGAAAGCCTCGATTTAAACAGTGAATATGATAAAATTCAACTGAATAAAAAAGCTAATGAGCAAATATTATCTTAATTAGTTCTACTTTCAGTTTTAATATCACTTCAGAATTTTGGGCTAATACTAGAATGTAGGTTGTTTTATTTTGTTTGTTTTGTTTTGAGATGGAGTCTCACTCTTGTCACCCAGGCTGGAGTGCAGTGGCGTGATCTCAGCTCACTGTGACCTTTGTCTCTCAGGTTCAAGCAATTCTCCTGCCTCAACCTTCTGAGTAGCTGGGATTATAGGCGTCTGCCACCATGCCCGGCTAAATTTTTTGTATTTTTAGTAGAGATGGGGTTTCACCATGTTGGCCAGGCTGGTCTCGAACTCCTGACCTCAGGTGATCCACCCGCTTCGGCCTCCCAAAGTGCTGGAATTACAGGTGTGAGCCACCAAGCCCAGCCAAAATGGAGGTTTTTCACAGTAGCACTTTTTATTTACAAAAGTTAATTTCTTGAGAAATTATTATAAATCATATTTTAAAGTTCACCAAAATACTTTTTTTCACATCGATCCTGCAATGAAACCCTTTTCATAATATAAATAACCACCTCCTAGCCCGCTCCTGCCACACACACACCCTAGTTCATTTGTTTTGTTCACATTTTTGTGTGTCTCATATTCATAAGTCAGGTCAAAACCTGATGGGAAATATGTATTGGCTCCAACATATAGAGACTCTTCTAATGTTGTTTACATGACTCCATAAATTTTCTCCATGGTACCATTGGGTAACAAAAAGTTGCTAATACTCTATTTTCTCATTGAAAAGCCTGAAATGACTTGTAGACATTGTCATGTTGAGGCCTGAGTTTTTCTTGTTGAATCCTGTGGTATTTTCCCCAAAAAACGTGGAGAAAAGAATAATTTAGAATACCAAATTTACATGCCAAATTCTAGGATTTCCTTTTTATCTTTGATTATGGATGACTAGTTAAAATGACCTGTTCCTAATATGTAACTAAGAAATATTTATGACAACAATATCAGTAAAATTAGTGTAGAGATGAAAATATTTACTACTTGGAATATACATTAACTTTCTGGAAAATTTTGAAATTCAAAAAATTTATTAGAAATGATATCATGGAAAATATCAAATTAACAATTTTATTTGCAATTGTGAATTGCAGGTTTTTTAAATGTCTTTTTACTATTTACAAAGATAAATTCTCCAATTCAAATCAGTAGGACTTCTTGACCCAAACTTCAAAGTCCACTATCTAAACTTAGGAAAATCAGTGTGATTTTCAAGTTATAGTACTCTTTGAAAATATCTCCTCTGTGAAAGTCAATGTTCAGATTACATATACAGAAAAGCTGTAGAAAGGTTTAAATCTAATGATAGAAACTATGTTACTTCATGGGGAAGTTCTGGAAATGTTATTAGGTGCTATGTGTTGTCTTCCTGGCTCGGAAGGACATCACCAGGATGATCCCGTGTCTGGGCAGCCTCGTGATCCAATATTCCCTATTCTTAATTCCAGAAAGACGCTTAATTGACTGGGTTGAAGTGTGTTAAGTTGTATTAATGTTTCAAATTCATACATGAAACAATCTGGAATCTTCCCCCAGGAGCTCGCTGTTCTGACTCCTCCTGTGCTCTGCCCACAGTCCCACCACTTACTTTTTCTCTCAGCGTCCTCAGCCCTGGTCAGGTAATGGTAGAAGTAATCCAGTTTATCAGGCTGCTCCTCCAGGGGCTTCTGCAGCCAGAAGAGGGACCTGACTCTCGCAGCCTCCCTCAGGGCATCCCACTGCTCCATCAGAGCGAAGAGCTCAGTGAAGGACTTATGATAACCATCTCGCAGCATGTCCACACAGATGTTCTTCTTGTAGGAGTTCCTATAACTGGGAATATGAATCAGAACACTCACAGATTTATGTTAATCCTTTCAGTCTGCATGGTGTTTTAATTCTCTAATAATTAAAGGTTGAATCATGTTGCCTTTTTTCCCACAGTGAAAGCACTGAAAACTATCAAAAGATCTTTGCCTCAAACACTTATAATTGAACAACTTCTGTTTAATGAAAGATGCCAGGAGCTATCTAAATACAGTAATTTTAATGAAATTACATTATAAACATATCAGTTCCAGAGCTGAGCTCCATTTGATAAGGACAAATAAGCTAGTTGACTGATGAATATTCAAAAATACTTGATACATCAGCCTCCCACCAAAAAAAAAAAAAAAAAAACCAACAAGTCAAGCAAGAATAAAAATTGCCATTTAATATCAAAACAATATTCTCTCTATATTAGTAGTTTCACTGTATGTTACAGAAGTTCATCATTCTTTCATTCATGCAGAAAATATTTATTGAATTCTATTACTAACTATATATTTTCAAATTATTTTCAGTTAGAATTAAGTTAATGGTTAATAATTCTATTCTAACTTCAATAATCAAATGCAAGAAGATAAAGTGACAAACAAATATTCCTTTTAGTCATGCGACAAATAGGTTCTGAGTTTCCTACTAAGTACCAGGCACTGTTCTAAACTAAATAGATTCCATGCCCTTGTGACGCTTGCATTCTAAGGGCAGAACATGACTAACAAATAAGTAAGCAAATGAGAATAATTTCAAATGATGAAAATTTCTAGAAAGGAAATGAACAGAATTGTGAGATAATAGCTGTGTAGTGGCTATTATTCCATTAAAAGAACAATTAGATGCCAAAAGATGTAGCTTTATACTAATTATGTTATATTCTTTTAAAAAAATAGGACAAAAGACCTGATGTGATACTACTGGCAACAAAAATTCACCGTGGAGTGGAAACAGCCCAGACCACCAAGATTGAGCCCAGTTTTGCCTCACCTCCCTAGGTCTCCAGTCTTCTCATCTCTAAGCTGTATATACTAGTATATGCTACGTACACCATGGAATTCCTCTAGGAACCAGATGAAATTAGGTATGTGAGAATACTCTGGGAACTGTGAAATCTCACTGCTGCTTCTCAATTCCTCATTATGTACTAGATTCACCTACAGAGTTCAAAAAACAAACAAATAACAAAACAAAACAAAACAAAATGACTAGACTTGCATCTGCCAAGAATTTCTTATCCAGTGAATCAGCTTAGGTAGAGAACAAACAAATAAGAAGTGGCAAGCAGGAGAGTGGTGAGACAGGAAGTTTAGAAAAAAGGCAGGTCCCAGATCATGAAGAGACCTTACGGTAAAAACAACAGTGAGAAGTCTGGACTGCAAGCTAGCAGGGAGGTAGAGCTATTGGAGATCAGAGTCAGGGAACCGACATGACAAGACTGCATTTTACAAAAGTCATCTAGAAGAAGTGTCCCAGCTGAACTGCAACCTTCCCCTATCTGGCAGTCAGGTTGTTACAGAATTAGTCCATAAAGAGAATAAAGAGACCACATGGATCCTAGGTCAAAAGATCAAAAGCCAACATTTAGCATGAGAATAAGATATATTTGAAATGCGGAAGAGAAAAGGAATAGTGGTTGTTACTTATTCCTGTCCTCCAATTGCGATAGAGGAGGAGAGTATGGAGAAAGGCAGCGAGATGCTTGGAGGGCCATGTTCTCTTTCTCTTCCTCACTCCAGTCAAATGGAGGAGCTCAGAGAGTAAAAAAGTCAATATCCTATGAAATGCAGTGGGAGTCAAGAGTAGAAAACACTCATATCCTTCTTCCCATCTAGGGTTCTTGAAGGCAGGGAGGACTACCAACATCCCTCTTCCCACCTCCCCATACACAAGGGCATGCAAAGGCAGCAAAAGTCACTGCATAGCATTTCTAGGCAGAGGACGACAAGGATCATCCCTGTAATTGCCCACAGCCCTGAATGGTATAGGAGAAGGGACTTAATATTCCAGTGGGCTCCATGTGTGGCCCAGAAGTTACTGGGAGGAGAGGGCTGATATGTCTGTCACAATGTCATCTGGCCATAGCAAGGAGATGTATGCTAACAACTGTTCATGGGCTGCCCACTGCGGACTGACGTAAGACACAGCTAAAACTGAAATGAGAAGTACTGGGGCACTCCTGAAGGGTTCAGGTCAGCATATTTCCAGAGCTGATAGAACAAAGACAGATCAAGTACATCAGAGATTGACACATGTAAAGGACCTCATAAGCTAGGAATACATTCAGCTAGTAAGTAAAAGAAACTTGTCTCACAGTGCTGTGAAAAATGGAGGTTTCTAATTTTCTTGCCTAAAGGCAGGCAGCTGAGGGCCTTGGTTCAGTGGCCTGGCAAGTTCAAGGCCATGTCTCTGGGGTTATCTTGACTTTCCCTCCTTCTGGTCCCTTATTGGTTGCTACAGGGCTGCTACAGCTTCAGACATGATGTCCACTTTCAAGACAGGAAGAAAAGGGAAAGTGGGGTGGCACTGGCAGCCCTTATGGGAAAAACAAAACATTCCTGCAACCACTAGCAGATTTCCACTTGTTTATTGGCCAGAACCCTGTCACGGCCCCACTCCTCAACTTGGTGCCAGGAGTCTGGAAAAACAAATACGCTGCCTGCTCTTGGACATGTTGCTGCCCCCAAACAAAACTAGAGTTATGTCTGCAAAGACAGAGGAAGGAATGGATACTGGACAGACAAATGCAGTGACAATTACAAAGTCCTAGAAGTCAGGGGTGTCCAGTCTTTTGGCTTCTATGGGTCACATTGGAAGAAGAATTGCCTTGGGCCACACATAAAATACACTAAAACTAACAATAGCTTATGAGCTTAAAAAAAATCATTTAAAAATCTCATAACCTTTTTAAGAAAGTTTATGAACTTGTGTTAGGCCACATTCAAAGCCATCCTGGGCCGTCTGTGGCCCACAGGCACTGGGTTGGACAAGATTGTTCCAGGTCAAGATCTGAAAATAAATGCTGTTACCCCAGGGAGTTACCAGATAAATTGTAGGAGGCCCAGATAAGTTTTAACATCAGATAAACAATGAATGATTTTTTTTTTTATTAGCAGTATGTCCCAAATATTGCATAGAACATACTTATTCTAAAAAGAGTTTCTTGTTTTTGAAACTCAGACTGAACTGTATGCTCTGTATTTCTATTTGCTAAATCTAGTAACTCTCCTCCCCTGAAGCCCCCAGTAGTGCAATGCTGTTTCTGTGTAGGAAAATAGGGTGAGGGGAAGAAGTTTTAGAATCTTGAACAACTTGAGAAACTGCCGAATTGGACTGACTTTACCTGAGAGTGACAAGATTGGATTTTTACACTAGGGAGGATCAAGGCTCAGGGCCAGGAATTAAAATTAAGTTATAAAAAAATAAAGACTTTCAATTTAGCATTCTCAAGTCTGTGAGTCAGAAATTCACACCTGATCCAAGAGAAGCAAGGGGAGAAGGGTAAAACCAGGAGCAGGAAGAATGGATGGGAGATCGGTGGTCACGGAAAGGAGAGGTGCTGGGGGTGGAACCAGGGTAAAGCTGGAGGGATGGAAAGAAGTAGGTGAATTCAAAACATTTTAAGGAGACAAAAATATGGATTACTTGGTGATTCAAAGATATATCAAGGGTGAAGGAAAGGGAGGAGCAAGGGTAACAACCAGGTTTGGGGATTGGGTAATGGGTAATTTACTAAAGTTACATTAGTAATTTGCTAAAGAGGGGAACACAAAAGGATGAACAGGTTTGGGAAAAGAAAATGAGTTAAGGTTCAGATAACTGGAGTTTCAGGAGCCTGAGGGGACCTCCACGTGTTACCCCAGAAGGCAGTTTGGGGGGTGACATAGGAGGCCTGAGAGGACAAGGGGCTGGAATCTTGCCTCACACAAGCAATGCCACCTTTGTATGGGTATGCATTGGTGGCCGGCCAGTCTTCCTAGGAGTGAAGAAAACATTTGGGGGCAAAAATGAAGAAAATTATAAATAGATAAAAATTTAAACATTGACCATAAATGATACAAATAAATGCTAGATAGGGCAGTTAGAAGGCCATCTCAGTTCTAATCCCAACAGGGTCAGAAATCCAGAAAAATCACTCTCTGGGCCTCATTCCCCCACCCCCGGAAGATGAAGGTGCTTTTGCTGGATTTGGTCCACCCAGCATCTAGCTCCACGTCCACAGGAGGCACACTCTAAAAGTATTTCAGAAATAACCTTCCCCACATTGTGTGTAGTCTTGGTGGCATGGAAATTCAGGGACTCCCTAGCCAAAGAGTGGGTTATTGACCCAAATTAGGCCAACTGGTCTCTCTCCCAAAATTCTGAAACCTGAGGCAAGCAACACAAAGGTGTAGGAGGTTGCTGGCGCTCAATCAATTCTGGCAGAATTTTGACAAGATTGTCTCATAGTTCCTGCTACCTATATCCATTCGAGAGGGTCGGGTCTGGTCTTTTTCTTCTGATCTGGGTTCTCCTCTAAATTCCACTACATCCTTTCAATAAAATCATTTTCACTTGATTTAGTCAGAATCCGTTTCTGCTGTCTGTGACCAAAGAACACTAAGTGATTCAGAAGGGATTGGACAATCATTATTTCCACACCGTCTTTCAGCCTCAAACATCTATGATATATAACTAATATCAATTTTTAAAATTTCCAGTACATTTTTTAAAAAGATCATTCTTTACAGGTGATGTTACAAATAGAAATGTATTTAAATATGCATATAGAACTATGCTGATATCGTCTCTACTTTTTACACACATGCACACATACCTATGCATACTAATATGCTACTGTTTAAGCCTCATTGTTAACATTTGAGAGCAAGAAAGGACAATTATAGTGGTTTAATAAATTGGTTCCTATCTAAACCTTCATAGTTAATGCGAATTATTTCTTTTAACCAGAAAATCTTCATTTGTTAAAATAAATTGGCTATCTATAAAAAAGGAATGTCAATCTCTACCATTAT